AAAAATGCGAAGAGCATTCTAACAAACGCATATATTTTTTGAATGGTGCTTATCTTGTAAGACCTACCAAAACTCAGAGGTACAATATTTTTCAAAACAAAAAAAAGCAGCCCCCTAAAGTGTCTCTACTATGTGTAGAAAAAATTTCAGTTCGATCGGATTTACTGTGCATGAGAAACGGAGGCGAGTCTGTAAATTTTTGCTGAAAAACCTAGTTTCTAGAAAACGGCGAAAGAAAGAAAAAATCATACTATACCCCTACGGCAATCGATTTATCTTATGATTCAGTAGTGTTTCTTTTTATGGATTCATTTGCAATATCGAATTAGATTACAATTTGGTATAAGAGAATTATAAATATAGAATGTTGGAAAAAAACAAAAAACAACGTAAATATTTTCTAATTAGAGTCCTGCATCCGACACTGCCGGACTCATAAAAAAATCTGACTTCACAAAATTAGAACACGTATATCTTGATATAATAAACATTCCTAGAGCTAATTTTTATATATTACATGTATGTTAAGTTATTGTAAATACTCTGAAAAAAATTAGCCTTAATAATATGACACACAAAAAAAGAATTCACTTCATGCATTTTAGTTTTAAAAAACTTCGAATTCAGATAGCATTTTTGAAAATTAAATAGTTTATATTATTTAGATAATTCTTGAAGCTACAAAACCTCTATCAAGAGTATGTATAGAGTTGCTCCTGATGTTTTTCGAATTTTTTTTCTCATATGGTTAAAGATCTGATTGAGAATAATAATAATCTTTGTAAAGAATCAAAGCTAAATGAAAGGTGGATAGCTGGTGTTCCTTTTCATTGAGAAAATGTTTATCATGTACAGAGTGTTTCTCTTATAGAAAATTGATAAGAAATGGAAGAAGAAAGCAAATAACTATAAAAGAATAAATTTTTATAAGATATTCATAATAAAGTCTCAGGAGATAACTTTGAAAGTATTCTTGTTTTTTCTTCCTTGGCCATTATCGAATATTTGGATTGTTACAACAGTCGATTTCATTCTACAAACAATGGTGTAGTGAATGATGACTGAATGTCTTTCGATGAAATCAGTACTCACTCCCACACCCTTTATCACAATGTATAAATAATACATTTGAATATTTAATAGTTCGCGCCTGATAGATATATATATAGAATTTTTCAGTAAATCATTTGTTATATAAAAGTAAATATCAAATGTTAATAAATAAAACTATTTTCTCAATTTCTAAAATCTGATGACTCCATCAAAACGTACTTCTCTCATAGCAACAAATTATACTGGACATATTGAAGATACTTCTATACTTCAAAGATTTCTTTGCACTGATCTATCAAATCAACGTATACCAGTAACACATCTTTTTATTGCTCATTATCATGCATATCCATGTACGGTTATAATTCAAGCTTCAACTAGTTTAGGTAAACTTCATGTTCCTAGTATACGTCGTTATCTTGAAATTGATCATAAACATAATTCAACAGAAGATATTATTAAACGTGAATATCATCCGATAGTACGTAGTTTTTATATAACTAATTTTCTTGCTAATCTTGGCAATGGTATTATGATTGATTGTGAAAATTGTCAATTAATAAATGATATTGAAAATCCAAATAAATATAAATCAGATGGATATTATGATTATTTTTTAATAGTAGAAAAACTACGAATTAATTATTTACCTGAACATGATATTTATGTTAATGACGAATTAGCTAGTAAATTATCATCATTTTATGTTCTTCAATCAAAATCAACAATTATTCAAGTATTTTAGCAAAGAAAAAAAATTTTTAGATCTTTTTTCGTTAATGATACAAATTATCTAGATTCTATCGAAAATATTTTGCAAATAAGTTCATTTGATAGAGAAATGTTTTTGAATTCTTCACGATCTATCTTCACTTATTCTATGAAAAGCTCTAGAGTATACATGAACTTCTGTCTGATATGAAAATCCGAGATCCTTTTAGAAAGTTGATACGCTCCGTAGTGCTTATGAGGGAGTTGCTTCACCTTAAGCGCCGAATTATGAACAGTTTACTAGATTTTTGACCCATTTGCACTCTCCGGCAGACCGAATAACGAAGTTTTAATTCGAAATTCTATCATTTAATTTTTTTTTGGGAGCTGCCTACAAATGAATCGAAAGTTCACTAGACCGATCATAACTTGACGACAAAGGCCCATAGGGACAAACCGTTTTTGGGCTTTTGCTATTCTCACTGAGACCTGCCTATGGGTTCAATATGAGTGCAAACAGTGGGTATCACTTGGGGTAGTCCTTCGAGTACGAGCACATACTCATCTTTGATATTATAGTATTCGAAGTAGTTTGTTCAGTACTCTAAACACTGATGACACCAACTGAAGTCTTTCAACTATGAAATTCATAGAGTACTGTTCATCTATTGATACATAATATCGTTATCTCAAAATGTAGTTTGATAACCAAATAAAAGTGGAAACCTCGGATTTAAATCCGAGAGTTATGTGTACTTCAAAAAGTGAATGAGACAAATCGGTCATCCTACAATACGTGGATATAAAAATTAGCCTGGCAAACCCTTTCTATAAACACTTGAATTCTATTGGCTACTGCTCAACCAATAGGATTTCGAGACAGACGGAGCTTAGATTGGAGTTCTCCGACCCAGAAAACCTCGAACTATCATCGATGTGATCGAAAGACAGAGCTCGAATTGTGGCTCAATTAGAGTGTGGACACAAACAGAACCAATTCCCGTTTAATTACTCTTGCAATAGGTGAGTTAATCTTCTTATTTCTTTATGTTTTATATACCATTTTGTAGCTCGTGAAATTCTCTATCGAATGGTATATAATAGTTGAGGTTTTCTTTGACTATGATAGGGAAAGTGTTTTATAAAAGCGGGGATAGGTCGGTTTTCCTATCGGAAGCCATAGGAAAAAATGAGTATTTTTGCAATAACTCAGGAACGGCTGGGCCAATTCTTCTCATCTTCTTCTCTCGACCGAGATATTGTTGAGACTAAACTGTGTAGAAAATTTCATCGCGATCAGACTCTCCTTTCAAAAGTTATCGTGTAAACGGCCGGACACACTGACTGATTCTAGAGTGTACTCACTTTTCGAGTACACAAAAAGTTCAAAGATGTTTCGTTTTCAAACTTTTTTCTTTCACCTAAGTATTTAATACTTTTGTTGTTTTTTTTTTAGGTAGTATGTAAATATCCACAACAAGGTTATTATCTTCATGGAATAAATATTAAAAAACCATTCATTTATGATCTTTCATTGAGTTATGGCAAGGATTTTATAATAATTCATCATCAAATTTTAAAACAATTAAATAAAATCGAATGGAAAGGAATTATTCTTCTTTATGGTATTCCAGGAACAGGTAAGAAAAAAAAAACAAAGTAAATCAATTCAATTCTCTTCTATTTTAATATTATAAATAAAGGAAAGACATATTATATTCGTTATTTGATAAATGAACTTCAAGAAAAAAATTTAATCTATTTTCCATCTGATATAATTCGTGTTCTTTCATCATCAGAAATTCTTCAAATACTTAAACCATATTCTCATTCAATTATTATTATTGATGATGTAAGTTAAGTTTTTTATTATAATTAATACATTTTTTGAAAAATAATTCTAGGCAGAAAATCTAAACAAAGATCATCCAGATCAAGTATTAAACAATCTATTTAATTTGTATGATTATATTTTCTTTTATTCTTTTCAATTCTATTTTATTTCATTTAGAAATCATCTATCACATCGACCAATCATTGCTACATTTAATTCTTATTTACCACAAATATTTTCTCATCATAAAACTTCTTCAATTATTCAATATTCTTTTAATAAACTTGATATTATCAATAGTCGAATACTTCTCAAAACATTAGGTTCACAACGTGATAATGAAACTATTAAACAATCGATGACATTAGGTGAAATTTATGCTCAAATAACATTTGAAACAAAAATACAAAATGAAAATATAATAGAATCAAGAAAAAAATTAAAAACACCCGATGAAATGATACAATTATTAGCTGAACAAGAATTATCTTTATCCGATAAAGATAATTGTACACTTTCATAAAATTAATCATTCAAATAAACATATATACAATTATATATTTCAATATAACAAAAAATAAATTATTTTCTAATTCATATGTAACAAATCGATTTTTATTTGCATTCTGTTTTGTGAAACTTCTTATCAGAATTGGACAAGTACGAATATAATTCTCAAATACTCCTACAAATTTGTATTTTCAAAACCGAGTCGTTTTATTTAGTTTACTTTTCATTAAAGTTTTTCATCAGGGATGAAACAAACCGTTTTTAAAGAAATGTACTAAACACTGAAGATTTTTCAGACGTGTTAAAAAAATTTTTGTAAAACAAGAACAATAGGTCTGGATGATCGGAAGTTCACAATAATGAATCAAAAGTGAACAAATCCTACATATTTTTTTCTTTTGCAAAGCGAAAAAAGACTTTGTTGTGTAATTTTGGTCAAGGACTCTCCGGACATCCTGTATCAGTGTCCGGCTCGGGTGACAAAAAAAGTGACCCATGTCAGACATTGTCCTGTATTTTTAATATTGTTTTGTTCATGTCGAACTCTAACGAGTACATACTCGCGCTTATCCATCTCTGTTTCTTTTCCATATAACAAAAAAGCATTGTTCTATTTGTAAGAATTTTTCTTCCCTCCTCCTCCCTGTCATAGAAAATTCATGGGATTTGGATAATTTAAAACCAAAATTAAATTATTGATTGTATGAAAGTAATGATTTGAAGAATAAGTGAATTCGAGTCATGTGATATTCATTTTATATGAAAAAAGTTAGAGTAGATTTTTCAATGAGTTGTTCATCTCTGACAACAAATCGAATTTATTGCATCCATATATTGTCATTTTTCTCAATGTAAATAAAAATAGAACAAGAAGTTAAATTACAAATTGATATTAACGACGTTCTTGTTTACTGTAAATATTGTTAAAATATAGAATTTGAATTTTATTTATTCAAGACAATATATTATGATTAAAATCAACAATTACTTGACAGTAAAAACTAATAAGATATCTAAAAATAATTCAATATTTTTAGCAAAACATAATTTATTTTAACTTACTTAAACAAAGTGCAAATACAGCAATAAATAAAAACCATTTTCTAATATATCTTGATTGTTCATTCATCATTTCAATCATTGGATTTTTATGATTAATTAATAATTTCAATATTCTATCATGATTAACATATGATAATCCTGCTTGATTAATATCACTTTCAAGCATAGGTACACATTTTAATTGTGATAGATTAGGAATAAGTGTATTTTTAAAACACTAAGATATAAATAAAAAAGCTGTTAGCGCAATCCCTTGCGGGATTAAAAATGTGAAACACGATGTAGCAGTTATTAATAATCAAGTGAAACCTTCTTTACAAACTCAAAAAGCTTAAAGGAAAAATTTACCGAATATTTTTTTCCCTCTATTAATATTCGTCTCCGTTCAATCGCTTTCGTGGTTCATGACGAAGCAGAGCCTGTCTGTCACGGTCTGTGATGGGTTCAAAGCCTGTCTGTCACGGTCTGTGATGGGTCCAAAGTCTGTCTGCC